CATCAAAATGGAAAGACAACCCACTGTATGGAAGAACATCATTGCCAATTATGTATCAGATAAGGGGTTAATTTCCAATATATATAGAGTGCTCATACAACTCCACAAAAGGAAGACAAAGAACCCAATTAAAAAATGGGCAGAGGACCTGAATAGACACCTCTCCAAACAGGACATACAAATGGCCAAGAGACATATGAAGAAATGCTCAACATCACTAATCATCAGAGAGATGCAAATTAAAACAACAATGAGGTATCACCTCACACCTGTCAGAATGGCCGCCATCAACAAATCATCAAACAACAAGTGTTAGCGAGGGTGTGGAGAAAAGGGGACTCTAGTACACTGCTGGTGGGAATGCAGACTGGTGCAGCCGCTATGGAAAACAATATGGTGCTACCTCAAAAAATTCAAAATTGAACTTCCATTTGACCCAGTAATCCCACTGCTGGGAATATACCCTAAGAAGCCTGAAACACCAATCAGGAAGAATATATTTACCCCCATATTCATAGCAGCACTATTTACAATAGCTAAGATCTGGAAACAGCCCAAGTGTCCACCAGTAGACGAATGGATAAAAAAGCAGTGGTACATATACACAATGGAGTACTATGCAGCGGTAAGAAAGAAAGATCTCTTATCCTTTGAGATGACATGGAGGGACCTGGAAAGTATTATCCTAAGTGAAAGAAGCCAAGCAGAAAAAGACAAATACCACATGATCTCACTTATATACGGAATATAATGAACATAACAGTCTGAGGAATACAGTAGACCCAGACACATGGAAGTAGGGCACAGACTGACGTCCCTCAGAAGAGGGGATGGGGGGTGGGGGTGTGGGAAGAGATAAACCACAGAACTTATATGCATGTATGCATGACCAATGGACATGGACAACTAAGCTGGGGACAGGGTGGAGGGGGGGGGGGGTGGTGCCAATGGGGTAAAAAGGTAAAATATCTGTAACAAATCAATCTCAATAAAATATTTAAAAAAATTAAAAAGAAAAACCTTATTTGTGATTGTCTGTCTGCCAACAGCACACGGCCCTTAGCACCCACATCACCTTCTTGGGCTCTCAATTCCTCAAGAAGCCCGAGGCGAATCTGTGCCTCCGTTTATCTAATGCTTGTTGAGCCTTCTGTGTGCCCGGCTCTGCCCTAGGTGCTCAGGACACCACGTGACCAAGACAGCCACCCTCACGGAGGTTATAGTCAGGGTTGGAGGAGGCTAAATAATAAACAAATGACCAAATAAACGAGTGCTTGTGCGTGATGGTTGCTTTTGGGTATAAATAAATCAGGGCAAAGAAATAGGGAATATCTAGGGGATTCCATTTAAGATAAAATGGTGAGGGAAAGGTTAGCTTCTTTGGAGCAAATTTAGCTCACTGGAAGAGCTTGGGGCGGGGGGACACTTAAGGACAGGGATTGGAAGGTAGAAACATACAGTGACTGGTTTCAATGCCATGACCCCTGTTCCAGCAAAACCTCTGCAAGCACATCCTCTTCCTGCAGCAGGTACTGTTAGAAAAAGTAGCCCAAAAGCACGTACCACTTACAACAGGAACTGAAACCAGACACTCTGGGAAGTAACCTAACAGGAAACAGAAGAGCTTTCGAAAGAGAATTTTAAAATTCTAACAAAGGACATTTTTAAAAAAATAAGTGGAGACTTATACCATGTTCATGGATGTGATGACTTAATATTGAAAAATGTCATCTCTCCCCAAACTAATCTAAAAATTCAATGCAAATCTTATCAAAACCCCAACATGTTTTTTCTCTCTCTCTCACTCTTCGTTGACTTGATGAAGTGAATCTAAAATCAGAAAAACAAAGATGAATAGGATATGAGAATAGGTAAGACAATTTATAAAATGGAGAATCAATCAATGATATATCTGATAAGGGGTTAATATCTAAATTTTATAAAGAACTTATAAAACTCAACAACAACAAAAACCAAATAAACAAATAAATAATCTAACTAAAAATGGGCAAAAGACTCGAATAGACACTTCTCCAGAGAGGACATACAGATGGCCAATAGACATGGGAAAAGATGCTCAATGTCACTAATCACCAGAGAGATGCAAATCAAAACCACAATGAGATACCACCTCACACCTGTCAGAATGGCTGCCATCAATAAACAACAAACATCAAGTGTTGGTCTGGATGTGGAGAAAATGAAACCCTCGTGCACTGTTGGTGGGAATGCAGACTGGTGCAGCCACTGTGGAAACCAGTGTAGAGTTTCCTCAGAAAATTAAAAATAAAACTGCCCTATGACCCAGTGATTCCTGTTCTGGGAATTTAACTGAAAAAAAAAACTAATTCAAAAGACTATATTCACCTCTATATTCATTGCAGTGTTATTTACAATAGCCAAGATTTGGAAGCAGCCCAAACACCCATCAGTAGATGAGTGAATAAAGAAACTATCGTCCATTTACACAATGGAATACTACTCTCCCATATAATGGAAGAAAATTCTAGTTTGTGACAGGGTGGGTGGACTAGAGAACATTATGCAAAGTGAAATAAGCCAGTCAGAGAAAGACAAGTACCATATGATTTCACTCATATGTGGAATTTAATGAGAAAACTGAACTACCAGCAAAATAGAGACAGACTCTTGGATAGAAAGCAGGCAGACAACCCAGGGTGGAGTGGGGGGTGTTGGGAGGGCATGTGGAGGAATTGAACAAAAAAGGGAGAATAAAAAAGAGAGAGAACTCATGGACATGGACAACAGCGTGGTGATTGTGGGGTTGGTGGGGGGTGGGTGGAGGTGGAAGAGGGTGTAGGGTAGACAAATGGTGATGGAAAATTTAAATTAAAATAATTTTTAAAAGAAGAATCAAGAGGAAGGACTCCCTCCACCAGAGATGAAGACCGTTTCAAAGCCGCAATGACTAACACATTGCGGTGCTTATACAAGAAATACTGGAGGGACACCAGCTGAGCAGAGCTGGAGGTGAGAGGCAGCCCCAGACCCGGGAGCTGAGCCTGCAACAGGCAGAGCATCAGCACCACAGGGAAAGGGTGAATTCTTTGGCAAATGGTGAAAAAAAAAAAAAAAATGGCTCACTACATGGATATTTCTAAATGGGTCTCTATCTTAAATCATCTTCAAAAGTAACTTCAGTCACAAACATGGGAGATGAACCTATAAAGCTAGTAGGAGAAAATCTAGAAGAATACAGTGTATCTGTGACTTGTAAGTGAGAAAATCTTTTCAAACTCAAAACATACACCGTAATGGGGAAAATCGATGGGTTTGGCTCCATTTCAGAGAAATGCTTCTATTTGAAGAAGAGCATTTCAGACAAAACTACCCAACAGGTGGAAAAGTGAGAGCGTTCAGCACACAGTGAGCCCGTAAGCAAAGCCAGAGAGATGCTGTCAGGGAAGAGGAGGGTGAGGGACCCCTCTGCTCTGCTGCGCGTGGAGGGAGTCCAGCCATTCCAGAAGCAAATGCCACCCAGAGTGAAATTAAATGCAGGTGCATCCTGTGCTCACAAGCCCTCCCCTCCTGGGTGTGCCCCAGACACAGCGTCCCGGGCACAGGGGATCGGGCACAGGTCGGTAGTGCCCGCAGTCTCAGCTCTCCACGAGAGTTCAGAAGCGACGCGGAGACCATGAGCGCAGGGAGCCCCAGGCCGCCCACCCAAGTTACTCTTCAGTATGTACCAGTCACCACGACGGACCTCAAAAACATGTGCCGAGGGCAAGAAGAAAGAAGTGAAATGGGATTTGTGAAACAATTTGTTTGAAATTTTCTAAAACGCACCAACACAAAATATATATTTTCCCCAGTGCACATATATTTGTAAAAAATCCACACAACAAAAGAAGGCAAATTGGACTGGTTGCCCAGGTGGAGGGGACGGGGAGGTTTAGGGACAGATGTGTGGAGCTGAAGTGTGCTGGCAACTTGGTCTGGACACGGAGGTAACCAATCATCCGAGGTAACACCATCCCCTCCCCAGACACACACAGTTAAATTGTGTTCACTACACGCAGCTGAAGACTAAGCTTGCATTTCTACCTGCATCAATCAAAATTGCAACGTCCTCGTCCGGCCGGTGTGTCTCAGTGGATTGAGCATCGCCCCATGGACTGAGAGGTCCTAGTTTGATTTCCGGTCAGGGCACAGGCCCGGGTTTCAGGCTCCATCCCCAGTAGGGGGCGTGCAGGAGGCAGCCGATGGATGTTTCTATTTCACATCCATGTTTCTATCTCTCTCCCTTCCTTTCTCTCTAACAAAATCAATTAAAAATATTTTTAAAAAATGCAATGTTCTTAATCACTATTTAGTTAGCTCCACCTGCTTCTTTGTTTTCAAAGGGTCAAATATTTTAAACAATAATCCTGGAATTTACTCAGTTAGGTTAATGTATTACGTTTGTTAAACTTAGCAGTTCTCGGACTGTGCCTGCCCAGCTGGCTGTCACGAGTGTGCGTTCCCTGGTGCCCTGGGAACAGCGCTTCCCTTACTGCGCGTTCTGCTGCCCGCGAGAGCAACTGCCAGTCAACTTTTTTTTCTTTATTAATTTTTAGAGAGAGAGAGAGAAACACTGATGAGAGAGAACATTGACTGGCCGCCTCCTGCACGCCCCCCACTGGGGATGGGCCGACAACCTGGGCATGTGCCCTGACCGGGAATCGAACCAGCGACCTGTTGGTACATGGGTCAACACTCAGCCACTGAGCCACACCGGCCGGACTGCCATTCAACTTTTAAAGAGGTTTGAGAGAAATAGTAAAAGCTCAGGAGCCTGTACTTCCTTGTTGATTATGAATGTATTTGGGAGGAAAGCTTTCTCAGTTTCTGTATTTTAAAGAAGAATTAAGACTTTCAGCCTGGGCCCTGGTGACTGTCACAGGGGCCCTGACGGTGCCTGGGCTCAGGGTCCTGGAGGAGAGACCTCAGGGCTTCAGCAGGCACCTGTGCTGGAGGGAAGGCTGTCACCCTGTGCTCACCGTGCCTTCCGGGTCGACGAGCAGCAGGTGCTTGGCCTGGCCGTCGTGCATGCCGGTGAGGACGAAGGGGCCCGGGTTGGTGGTGCTCTTCCTCACCAGGAAGTCTCCGTCTCGCTTCAGCAGCCCCTCTGCCTCCTTCCTGCTCATCTCGCCTTGATACCAAGGCTCGGCTTGCAGCTCTTCCAGCATCTTGGCGTCCGGGGCCCTGGGGGAGACGGAGCTGATGCACTCCACGGAGGCCGCCTTGCTCAGCACGGGCCCCACGGACTGGTTCTTGAGAGCGTCTTCGAAAGGTTCTGTCCACAGAATTTGCCAGGAAGAGCAAAGGACAAACAGGACAATGTGAGGATGGGAACGCAAAGGCAACGCTACCAGAAGAAAGAGCTCAAGACAAACGACAGGCTGATCACGTAACAAGACACATCATAACAAGCACTTAAAAGCACAACCCAAATCCTGGCATGGCTCCTTCTGATTGGTCTGCTTTCCCAAGACAGCTGGGCATGTGCTTTGTGCCAAGGATTCCAGCGCACCCTGGTTTAGTTGGTTAGAATGACCTCAGTTGTGCCACAGGAGGCCATGCATATGAGCTGCCACACTTTCCTGGAACATTGGCTAGCCTCTTTAACAAATATGTTCTCTTCTGAGTGGGAACCTGCCAAACTGAAGGAAATGCACAAAGGAGAAGACAAGTTCCAAGACTGATTTGGGGCAGAACTTAAACCCAACCCATCAAATGTTTATTTCAAAATCTCTGTAGCAGGTGAATTTCTAAAATAAAACTGACATTTATTGGGTGCCTTTTGTGTGACTTGCCCCAGGCTAGGAGCCCTACCTCCCCCGACCTTCCCTTGTCCCTGTGGGAAAAGGCTCTTGTGTGAGTGTCTGAGAGTGACATGAGGCCCCTCAGAACACCTGTCACCACAGGGCATCAGTCAGTGGTAAGACTTCTGCTTTAACACCGATAAATATCAGCAGCAAGCAAGTCAGCAGGCATGCCTAATTAAATATCAGTGTTTGACTTTCAATAAGCAATTGTACAAAAGCACTCTGAAAGAGTGTGTGGAGTGCTGCAGTGTATAGTACGACAATGATTGTCTGGGACCACACTGCCAGCCGGGTCAATGCAAGCACCACAGAAGCAAGAGCAGCATCCTCCTGAGCACAGCTACATCCCCAAAGCCCAACATTATTCCTGGGCATGGCTCCTACTCTACAAACATTCAACAAATGCTGTAAAACAAGACCGATTGTTAGTAGAGGATGGGCAGAAGTGAGGTGAATAAAGAAAACCAAAATTAGGTCATTTTGACACTGAAATCATTTATATGTTGGGAGTAGAAAAGAAGTAAAAACTATGGATTAAAATTTTATTTTTTTTACCCTATCTTTTTCCTGATGACCTGAAGTAGTTGAAAAATTGTATTAGATTGTTTCTGCACCATCATCATCACCACCATCACATACACCACTACCATCACCATCATTATCCCATTGTCATCATCACCATTTATCATCACCATTTATCATCATCATCACCACCGTCATCACCACCATCATCATTATCCCATTGTCATCATGACCATTTATCATCATCATCATCACCACCATCATCACCACCATCACCACCACCATCACCATCATTATCCCATTGTCATCATCACCATTTATCATCATCATCATCACCATCATCACAACCACCACCATCACCACCATCATCACAACCACCACCACCATCACCATCACCATCATTATCCCATTGTCATCATCACCATTTATTATCATCATCACCACCATCACAACCACCACCATCACCATCATTATCCCATTGTCATTATCACCATTTATCATCATCATCATCACCATCATCACAACCACCACCATCACCACCATCATCACAACCACCACCACCATCACCATCACCATCATTATCCCATTGTCATTATCACCACCTCCACCATCATTACAACCACCACCATCACCATCATTATCTCACTGTCATCATCACCATTTATCATCATCATCACGACCATCACCACCATCACCACCACCATCACCACCATCACCACCATCACCACCACCATCACCACCATCACCACCATCACCATCATCATCACCATCACCACCGTCACCATCATCACCACCATCACCACCATCATCATCATCATCACCATCATTATTCTGGCTCAAAATAAACAACATAGAATGCTACCTTTATTTTTCATATTTTTCCGTAAATACTAGCACCCAGGGCCCTTTCTTCTTTTTGTCTCCTCTTCTCTAATTTGGGGAGCAGGAGTAGAAATCAATGGATGAGAAAATGTTGGCTCTGTTTCTCTCTTTCTCCATCCCAAACCCCAGGCCAATGTAACACCCCCAGGCTCTGGGGCCATGAATCTCTGGTAAACTGAATACATCAAACCCAGCTGCTAAGCTGCACTTGTGAGACATTGTTAACTCTGGACCAGAGGCTTGGAGAACCACCACTTTGCTCTGCATCTTGGGAAAGTCACTTCACACCTCCTAGGCTGTGTCCACATTATTTCAAGTGAAGAGACTGGATTATCAGGGGTGGGAAACATCTAGCCCACAACCCGTATGAGTCTGGAAAAAAACTACCAGCTGACATCACACACCTCACCAAATCAGCCTGACCAAACAGAGCAGGCTAATTTTTAAGTTGATAATTTTGTATGGCCCATGAATGATGTTATAAATATCCAAATGGCAGGAAAACGGTTCCCCACCCTGGATGATATTTAAAGTGACCCCAAGCACTGAGATTCTACAGGTCTTTTGGTTCTGGTAATTTTTATAAGTCAGAATGGGAGTCCAGTATCTGGGAAACCAAAGCAGCTGAGGAGAAACAGACTTTTGTTGTCATGGTGCCACCTAGTCATAAAGTACTCAACCCTGTCCTCACTCACAATACCACAAGAGGCAGGTGTCACGCTAGCAAGGCTGCCTTCGACCAGTGGTAGTTACTTATCTTCTAGGATGCTCTGTTTTCTCCTCTGTAAATAAGGATAATAATAGTAATAGTAATAATAATACAGTCATGTGTCGATTAATGATGGAGATATGTTCTGAGAAATGTGTCGTCAGGCAATGTAGTCATCTGTATGACCATCACAGAGTGCACTTACACAAACGTAGATGGTACTTTTCTACAACAGGCAACACAGTAGGTGTGTTGACACCAGCATCACCACACACACACAGGTAATGTGTTGCGCTAGGAGACGCTGATAGCATCACCAGGCAACAGGAACTTTTCAGCTGCACTGTCATCTTATGGAACCACATCACACATGTGGTCTGTAGTTGACCCACACGTTGTTTCGTGGCACACGATTCTAATAGTAATATCTACCTGTAGTATCATTGCAAAAATTAAATAAAATAATCAGTGCATAGCAGGTGGTAGAAAGTTCTTCCATGTCAGTCTCCTCCCCTCTTTAGTCTTTAACTTCTACAGGAATTTAAAAAAGAAATTTTAGGATAGAAAGCTCTTTGTGAGCTTGAAAAGTTCTTTCAAAATTCCTTATCTACGGTCTCCACTTCCATGAATTAGTTTATGGAGGATTTAATTTTCCCAATGTTTACACCAAACAGAAAGTCTTTGGCGCACATCCCACTGTACTGCTATTGAAGCAGTTTCCTGTCTCCCTAGCTTGTTACTACCTGGTAATACACAGTGGTTATTTCAGCTCCCTGAGAATAGAGACTTGGCCTGTTTTGTTTTCCTGTGTACCCCCAGCGAGCAGAATGGTATCGGACATGTTACCTGTTCAGTAGAGCACGGAGATGTGCAGGTAGAGAAAGAGAGGGAGGCAAGAGGGAAGGCAAGCAGGTGCATGCATACGAGGAGGGCTTGTTGCAATATCTGGGTTTGTATTGGTCTAGACCAAGGAGAATGGCCAAGCCATTTCACTTTGGCATCCTTAGCAACTGAGACAGCACCTGGTACACAACAGCCAATTAATATGTAAGTGAATAAATAAATGAGCGGATTTATTTGTGTATATTGTTTGCCTCAATACATGTGCAGAAATTTAAGAGGTAAGTCGATGTCAAAAAGAGGGGGAAATTGCTTTGTCTCTGGTCAAAAGAGAGGGATGCAATCCCAAAGCAGAGGCTGGCTGGAGTTCAAAGCCTCGGAAAGCCCAATAATAACCCAGGAAGGTGCAGCAAGTCATCACTGCTCATCAAAACCCAACTAGCAGAAAATTCAGTCATTGCACAGAGTCCAATAAAAGACAGTGCAGAAAGCAACGTCAAGAGGCAAGGAAACCAAAGGCGATGGAAACGCACTCATGTCAAAGAGGTCCTTCCTGGGGCTGCTCTCCGCGCTGCTCCCCGCAGCCAGCCCGGCCTGCGGCGGGAAGTGCTGGGTGTTCACGTAGGTGGGGGCTTCTCCCGCAGGGCCCACGTGTGCTTTCCCTTCGGGCGTGCTGTAGGTTTCCACGGAGCCTGCAACAAAAATGTGAGCCCTCTTTCTTCTTCTGATGATGACACTGTTCATGTGTCTTATAGTCAAGCCACACAGTTTCACAGGCTGACCCTCAGGTTAACCATAGAAAATTCTTCTTGCAGCTGACCATAGTTTCTGTCTCCTCTACTGACCCCGTCACTTGCACTGTTGTGTTCTGGCTAGGACACATTCCACACCTTCGTGTCACAATGGGAGCTACTGGAAGGTGGACAGCCATGGGCTGACAGCCTTACCAGGACTCTGGTCCCACGTCTGGGCGGGTGAGTGGAACAGGGCATGCCTTGGTCTGCTCATCGCCTTTACAGAGGCCTGGAGATCAAACAATTGAGCAGGAAACTTGTAAGGCTTATTTTAATTGCCCTTTTTTTCTTTGAAGTGTAAGTGAATGCTTTGCAAATTAACTGCATCTCATAATGCAATGTGATGCTGCAACCCATTTTAGGAAGTTACAACCTAATGACCTGAGACCCCTTTCTTACAAATCAGAGCCAGCCTCTCAGCCCCTGGCTCCCTGCAGGAGGTCCAGCATGGCGTGTGATTGAGCCTTCCCCTCAGGCAGTACCTGTATGGTACTTCCTAGCTGCCCCAAGACTGTGCCCAGGCTGGGCCAGTGGTCCCTGCTGATGTCACGGGAGGAGAGTTGAAGGGTGTTGCCGGATCACACCTGCTTGGGTCACTATCTAATTCTTTCTATGGTATCCATGCCTCTAACACATTTACACGTGTATATTCTCAGGATGGCTATTTGGTGTCCATGTCTCTGGAGAGAGGTCACCTTTCACACCCTGTGGGCAGTGGGTGTTGAAGCTGGCTCACGCCGGCCACAAAGGGTCAGCTCAGGGCTTCTTCAGAACCCTTCCCCAGAGCCCGTTGTTGGACTTGGCAGTGCATCACTGTCTGCCTGTGTGCATGACGGTGCAAGGGTCCTGCTAAAACTCCTTCAGGGTGACATCTCCAGCAGGGTCGTGAGCTGTCTCTGCTCCTAGGCCTGCGCTGACTCGGGGTTCACAGGCTGCTCCCGGCTTACATGTCCTGGTTAGCACTGGCTGTCTGCGGTGCACGTGTATGCGTATTACAAGAAAATCAGTCCGTAAAAAGAATTTTACAAACTCGTTTTTAAAAGGAGAAGATGAAAACTCAATGAATAACTTTCCTGATGATGACCCTTTGCCACTCCCACGATGGCAGACGTGGAGACGGGACACGTGGACACACAGACACACGGCCGTGGCAGCACAGAGAGTTCATTTTATTTTGGGGGAATTGATGTTAGCAAATCAACAGAAGACATTCTTATTTGTTTGATGAAAAATGATATTTATTGCTTTTGAAATGTGTTAAAAGTAATAGGTCTCAAGTTCTAGGCCAGGAACTTATGTGAGGCTCATTTTCCCCTGATGACTCTCTCACATCATCTGTTCTTGATCTAGCCAGAGTAACTGATGAACAAAAAGACACCCTATTTTTAAGTAAACCTAGCCTATTTTTCAATAAAGTAAATAACTAATATAAAAAAATGTGTCATGTATGTCTAGGTACATAGATGGTCTATAAGTACATTGCTAATGTCTGTAGAACAGAGATGAAGACACAGTAAAAAAAGAGGGGGGGCCTCTGACGAAGTTATGACTTTGATGTGCTATTTCCATCCTATTCGGATGCAGAGCCAGGTGGTGGCTTCTGCCCAGGTGTTATGTTCAATTGACCAGGCCAGCATGGATGGGTCATCTTTCAGCTTGGGCCGGCAACATGGGAAATTCTCTCACAAAAAGGGAATTTAAGAGATTTATTGCCGTTACATAATGATAAAGGGGTCAATTCAACAAGAGGACATAACCCTTGTGAACAATTATACATGCAACATAGAGCATCTAAAAATAGAAAGCAAATCTTAACAGACAGACAGGGAGAGAGTGACAGTGACACAGTAACGAGAGGGGATTTTACCACCCCACTGACATCCTGGACAGACCTGAAATCAGAAACGAAAGAAGAAAAATGACAGCAGACACCACAAAAATACAAATAATTATATGACAATATTATGAACAATTATACACCAACAAATTGGACAATCTGGAAAAAAGTGAAAAAATTCCTAAAAACATACAATTTCCCAAGATTGAATCAAGAAGAAACACATAATCTGAACAGACCTATTACTACCAACAAAATCAAATCAGTAATCAAAAAACTCCCAAAGAACAAAAATACTGGACCAATGGCCTCACAGGTGAATTTTACCAAACACTCAAAGAAGAATTAACATCTAATCTTCTCAAACTATTCCAAAATTGTCAACAGAAAGGAAGGGTCGCAAGGTCATTTTATGAAGCCATCATTACCCCGATTCTAAAACCAGACAAAGACATTATGAAAGGAGAAAATTGTATGCCCATGTCCTTGATGAACATAGATGCAAAAATTCTCAACAAAGTATTAGCAACCCAAATTCAGCTATACATTCAAAAGATCAAGTGGGATTTATTCCCGGGATACAACGTTTGGTTCAATATCCACAAATCAATTAACATAATACATCACATAAACAAAATGAAGGATAAAAATCATATGATCATATCAATACATTCAGAGAAAGCATTTGACAAAATCTAGCATCTATTTATGATAAAAACTCTCAGCAAAGTGAAAGTAGAGGAGTGTACCTCAACATAACAAAGGCCACATCTGACAAACCCACAGCTAACATCATACTCAGTGGGAAAAAGCTAAAAGCATCTTCAGATCAGGAACAAAACAAAGTTGTTCACTTTCACCACTTTTATTCAACATAGTATTGCAAGTCCTAGCCACAGCAACCAGACAAGAAAAAGAAATAAAAGGCATCCAAATTGGAAAGGAAGAAGTAAAACTATTTGCAGATGACATGTTACAACATACAGAGAACCCTAAAGATTTTGCCTAAAAACCGATAAATCAATTCAGTAAAGTAGCAGGATACAAAATTAATATTCAGAAATCAATTGCATTTTATATACCAATAGTGAACTATCAAAAAGAGAAACTAAGAAAACATTCACATTTATAATTGCATCAAAAAATTAAATACCTAGGAATAGATTTAACCAAGGAGTTTAAAAAAACAAAAACAAAAAACTGTACTTGGACAATTATAAGACACTGAAAAAAGAATTAGGTACAAATAAATGGAAGCATGTACCATGCTCATGGATAGAAAAAATTAACATTGTTAAAATGTTCATACTACCCAAAGCAATCATAGATTCAATGCAATCCTTATCAAAATACCAATGGAATTTTTCATAGAACTAGAACAAAAAAATCCTAAAATTTATATGGAACCACAGGAAAAAAAAAACACCAAATAGCCACATAAATCTTGAGAAAAAGAGAAAAAAGTTGTAGGAATCATGCTACCCAATATCAAAGTATACTACAAGGCTACAGTAATCAAAAGAGCATGACACTGGCATAAAAAACAGACATTCAGCTCAATGAAACAGAAATAAACCTATGCCTATATGGTCAATAAATACATAGCAAAGAAGGCAAGAACATACACAGGGGTAAAACAATCTATTCAATAAGTGATACAGGGGAAATTGGACAGATGCATTCAAAAAATGAAACTAGACCCTCTTTTTCCACCATATACAAGAACAAACGCAAAATGAATTAAAGATTTAAATGTAAGACTCAAAACCATAAAACTCCTAGAAGAAAACATAGGCAATAAACTCTCTGATACTGCTCTTAGTAATGTTTTTTTTTTTTTTCCTGCTATATCTCCTCAGGCAAGGGAAACAAAAGAAAACATAAACAAATTAGCAAGTTTTTGCACAAAAAGGAATTCATGAGCAAAACAAAAAGACAACCTATGAAATGGGAGAAGATATTTGCCAATGATACATCTGATAAAGGGCTAATAGCCAAAATATGTAAAGAACTCAAACAGTTCAACACCAAAAAAAAAACAAAACCTCAAAAAATTGGCAGAATAACTAAATAGATATTTCTCTAAAGAAGACATATGGATGGCCAATAGGTGCTCAATATCACTAAGCATCAGAGAAATGCAAATTAAAATCAAAATGGGATATCACCTCACACCTGTCAGAATGGCTATCAACAATACATCAAGAAACAAGTGTTGGAGAGGATGTGGAGAAAATTGTACTGTTGATGGGATTGCAAATTGGTGCAGCCACTATGGAAACCAGTATGGAGGTTCCTCAAAAAATAAAAGACAGAATTATCTTATGACCCACCAATTCCACTTCTGGGTACTTATCTGGAAAAATCCAAAACACTAATTCTGAAATATACATGCACCTCTCTGTCCATTGCAGTATAATTTACAATAGCCAAGATATGGATGCAGCCCAAGTGTTTATCAATAGATGAGTTGATAAAAAAAAAAAAAGGTGTGTGTGTGTGTGTGTGTGTGTGTGTGTGTGTGTAATGGAATATTACTCAGCCATAAAAAATAATGAAATCTTACCATTTGCAACTGCATGGATGGACCTAGAGAGTATTGTGCTGAGTGCAATAAGTCAGACAGAGAAAGACTAATACCGTATAATATTACTTATATGTGGAATCTAAAGGACAAAACAGAAACAGACTGATAGATACAGACGTTCGCCAGAGGAGATGGGAGTTGGGATGCTGGGTGAAAGAGGTGAAGGGATTAAGAAGAACAAATTGGTAGTTGCAAAATAGTCGTGGGGATGTTAAGTATAGAATAGGGAATATAGTTAATAACATTGTAATAACTGTATGTGGTGCCAGGTAGGTACTATACTCATCAAAGGGACCACTTTGTAAATTATGTAATTGTCTAACCATGATTCTGTACTCCTGACACTAACATAAAATGATACTGAATGTCAACTTTAATTGAAAATATAATATTTAAAAGTGCATTGTCATTTACTCCCAGCACAAATGGCTACAATAAGGAAAAAGCCTTAACATTAAATCAAGAAATAGTTACACTTATATACACAGAATCATAAATTAAATCTTAATTCATCTGTCACTCCATCTCCTTCAGACCCTGTAGAGTTAGTAGCCAGAGCCCAGGAGCTATCTGAAGGAGTTATGAAAGCATTTGAGGAGGGCGAAAGTTTAAAATTAAAAGAAACCTTTAAAATACACACATATATACACATGTGTGCGTATAGAACGTCTATAGAATTGAGGCTAACACTAACAGTTAGTTATTAGTTATATGTGAATTCATTTTAATGTGGGATGTAGGTGCACGCTCACTGATTTGATAAGATGTACTCAGGGACCGTGAGGGATGAGCTGGTCCTGCTGCCGGGGAGCAACAGCTGATGTGTGGCAACCCCACAGCCCTTACTTCATGTATTTCTATGATCTGCCCCGCCCCCCCCAGCAGACCTTTCCAGCAGGTTTTTCTGTCATTCCACAGGAGACGAACTGCCACTGGGGAGATAGTCCTTTTGTTTTGGGTTCTTTTCAACAGAAATGTTCAAACTAACTTTATATGTAATGCCCACAAATTGGAAACAAATATTAACCAACAAGTAAACACACAGTAGGATATCCATCCAATAGAATACTAGTTATCAGCGAAAAGAAGAAAAAACTATTGATGCATGCAGCAACAGGGGTGAATCTAAAAACAATTTTGTTGAGTAAAAAGAGGTCAGATAAAAAAGAATGCACAATGTGTAAATTATATGTGTATAAAATTCTAGAAAATGCAAACTGATTTATATGAGCCTATACAGCAAATCAGTGGCTTCTTAAGTGTGGGGGAGGGGCGAGGAGGACCAGAAAGCAGCACAGGACTTGTATCCGTTATGTTTCTTGCCGTCCCTACCTTGCCTCTCACCTTGCCCGACCGGGGTTTGCTGCCAGTCTTCGCCGAATGGGTCTCCTAGGTGTCTTCCCTGGTAATACGTTTGCTCTTTCCCTGAAAACTGTAAACACAAAGAGAAGAAAATCCATGCCTTTCTTTTTTTCCCATCTCCAAAAGCCATAGTACAGTAGAAGGGACACCCATGGCCAGGTGACTGCATCCCTGATTACACGCAATTTTCCCTTCATGCTTCACAGTTGGCATCAAGATTTAGGAAATAAGTGGTGTGAGTGTGAGAAAGAGACAGCATCTCAACAAAACTACACCTCCCCTCCCCCTTTTTTTCATTCCCTCAAATCCCCTCCCTCCAAGTATGAGCATAAACTGAGCTCTTTTACACGCAGCTTCATCACCCAACATGCCCTAAATTAAATTTCAGTTCCATTGTCTATGTATCGGAACACACTGCCCACCCGCACACCTGGGCAAGTCCACCCAGTCGATTCCTTCTCAGCGTCAGAGCTACTAACACTTGATTTCAATGTTACTTTAACACTATTATTAAGGTCATTATTATTTACGTAAGGTAGGTGACATAAAAAACCCTCTATAGCAGTGGTTCTCAACCTGTAGGTCACGACCCCTTTGGGGGTCAAACAACCCTTTCACAGGGGTCGCCTAAGACATAACAGTAGCAAAATTACAGTTATGAAGTAGCAATGAAAATAATTTTATGGCTGGGGGTCACCACAACATGAGGAACTGTATTAAAGGGTTGCGGCATTAGGAAGGTTGAGAACCACTGCTCTATAGAGATACCTTAACTCTAGAACAATTGCCTTATTAGAATGTTCAGTTGGAGGGAAAATCAGGAAAATGACTAAAATAGAAAAACTCATAAAATTCTCACCATTTTAAAGGCCTATGTCCACTGTCTTTTCAGAGAACATGGCCACTCAGTCTTCTCAGGGTCTTGAACGCTCTCTTCTCTGCATTAAGGTATCTGACTAGCACCTTGTGACGTTAAAACAAAAGCCTCCCCGTTCACCCGGTGTGGCTCAGTGGTTGAGTGTCGACCCATGCACCAAGAGGTTACTGGTTCTATTCCCGGCCAGGGCACATGCCCAGGTTGTGGGCCAGATCCCCAGTGGGAGGCACGCAGGAGGCGGCCGATAGAAGTTCTCTCATCGATGTTTCCATCACTCTCTCCCTCTCCCTTCCTCTCTCTCGAAAATCAATAAAAAAAAAAACTCCCCTAGCTGTCTGCTTTGTGAAATTCAAGGGGGAAAAGTGTGTGAGTTTTTCCAATCATGGACAGAATACCAACCTGAAAATAAAATTGAGAAATACGAGAGGAAATAAAATTCAATTAGCCAGCATCCAGAAAAACAGGTGTAAACCTAACCTGCTCAGTGCCAGGGGCATGGGGTCTGGCTTTCAGTCGCGCATCAGCAAACCCCCCTGGGGGCGGCGTCTTGTCTGGAATGCTATTGTAGTACGGACGGTCTGAGCCTTCCCCCTCCTCCTCGGTCCACGGCTCATCCAGACTCTGCATTCTGTCAAAGAGAATTTTCCAGAGCTTTAGCCAAAAGTTGAGCTTAGAGTCAAAACCAACAAATCCAATGTGAATCTGTCACCCAGAAAACTGAGTTGAAGCCACTGCTCCCTCAACCATGTAGGTCTCGGGCACATATAAAAAGCACCTGAGTGGTTTAGTCAAATATCTTTGCCTTATTCACAGCTCTGCCCTTTAGAAATTCCAATCATAGTTGAAATGGGAAAACAATCTTTTTTAAAAGTACATTTCAATTAGGAAAGAAAAAATTTATATGTAAAGACAACCAGATCCTCAAGGCACAGACACACATTTTACTAAATTATAAAATTTACCCAAAACAAAATCAACTAAAAAAAAATAAAGATTTAGTGACATCAGGGAAAATGGCAGAGTAAGAGCCTTGGAAAAATTTTACTTCTATGAAAGCAACAATAAAACTGGTTAAAAAAACAATTTCAAGATCAACTATTTAAAACTCTGTAAATTAACCAGAGGCTAGCAACAACCCAGGAAGTATTTATTTTGTTTTTTAAACACACAAAAAACATCTGTAAGAATAGCAGCTTTGTGATATTTTAACTTGCCCTATTCCCATCTTCATGGTAGTCTTGAAAACAAATAGCCCACAGACACAGTGAAAACCAACAGTAGCCTGATAGCCATGGGAGGGGGCAAAACAATGTTGAATCTCTTTTGAAGCCCCATTCCTAGAGAACAGTCATTACATAAACTGCCTAGTTGTTCCTTAGGTTATCTTTATTTGATCTGATACAGAGCTTGCCAGGGAAAAATGCCTCATCCCCTGGGACATTTGTCAAAAACAATTAGAGGCAATTGTTTAACAGCATGGCTCCCAGATTTGGGGCAAAGAGCAGACTAATCAAAAGCTTAAAAAGAAAAGCTAGAAAATGGGATGTTTGTAGGAATTTTGATAAACTTCAACACATCCAGGAATCTAGAAGGCCTTATGTATTCTTAGGGTCCTGCTCACATCTGAAAATGTATGCCTGCTCAGGAAAGATGTAAAAAGGCCCTTACTTCACCTCTGGCTAACCTTGAAGCTATGCACAGACAGGAAGTGAAAGCTAAGGCAGAATCGACCACTGCCTGGTGGAGAATAGAAAGGGTGCCCCCCCCCCAAAGACAGCCCCTCAGCTAAGACTGAGAGACTTAATGGTTCCAGGAATTTAAGAAAATCTCCTTCTAATCATTATTTTTCTAATAACTAAACTGACTAGAGTTGTTAGTTGCCATATCTGACAAAGAATACAGACTTTATGGAATTAGTTTAGAAAAGTTATTAGAACAAACAACCACACACACACACACACACACACACACACACACAACAGCAATAACAACAAATCCAGAGGAGGGGAAAAATCTGATTTCCAGAGTTGTCACATTATATTATTTAAAATCTATAGTTTCAACATCAACATCAACAAAAATTATGAAACATGCAAAGAAACACAAGGATAAAAAGCAATCAATAGAAACTGTCTTTGTGGAAACTCAGATTTTGGACAAAGGATTCTGAATAATAGTAACAACTGACTCTTTATCAGAAACAATGAAGGCCAGAAAGCAGTGGAATGGCATATTCAAATACTAAAAGAAAAAAACTGTCTACCAAGCACTCTATATCAAGTAAGACTATCCTTCCAAAATGAAACAGAAATAAGACATTTCCAAATAAATAAAAACTGAAAAAATCATCACTAGCAGAGCTGCCCTGCAGTTAGTATTCAAAGTATTTCAGGCTGAAAGGAAAGAACATGGTAATACATGTCAACATGAAAAAAATAGAGAATAATGGTACAAAATTAAATGTCCACATGTGTCTTCAAATTTTATTATATAGATATATATATAGGACTTCGTGCCTTAAGTATATTTCCAGGGAAGCATGGGAGTTCAATTAACTCTGCCCACCCATTTTTGTACATACTGTTTTAATAGTGGTTTTTTTTCACTTTTACATAACATTTCAAAAGTATAGAACATCATAATAATATAAAAGATATCTACACATCTACCACTGAGATTAAACAGTGTGAACATGTTGCTATATTTTCTTATTTATTTATTTATTTATTTATTTATTTATTTTTAATCCTCACCCAAGGATATTTTTCCATTTATCTTCAGCTAGAGTGGGAGGGAGAGAGGGAGGAAGAGAGAGAGAAACATCAACATGAGAGAGACACATTGATTGGTTGCCTCCCACACGACCCTGACCAGGGCCAGGAACAAATGGCAACTGAGGTACATGCCCTTGGCCAGAATCGAACCCGGGGCTCTTTGGTCTGTGGGCCAACACTCTAACCCAGTGGTTTTCAACCTTCCTAATGCCACGAGCCTTTAATGCAGGTCCTCATGTTGTATGTGGGCGTATCGCATGTGGGCGGACCCGCCTGGAGACTGATAGAGGACGGTGTCTCAGTCCTAAGACCATGGAAATATGTGTTTTCCGACGGTCATAGGTGACCCCTGTGAAAGGGTCGTTCACCAGTTGAGAACCGCTGCTAACCACTGAGCCAAACTGGCCAGGGCTTTTTCTTACTTAAAAAAAAAAAAAAGACACAAAATTTGTCAAACTTACTTTGGATGAATAGACATGTGAAATTAATAGTAAAATGTTAATGGTAGAAAATCTAGATGATGAACATAAAGAGATATTTTTCTCTAAGAACACGCATACACCAGTGTAGTCTTTGAATGGCTATGTCCCATTGCATATAAGACATAAAGTGTGTTCACTCATCCTCCTGCAAGGACCACTGCGTCTCTGTCACGTTCTAGCTCTGACTCTTCTTACACGCAGCTTTTCTGAGTTCGTGAGCGCTTCTGTCAGCGGGGAACGTGGGCCTTCACAGGCACCTCCCAAAGGTGTCTTCAGAGAAATTTTCCAGTGGATGAGAGAAAAAAATTCAAAGTCTCTTTCAAGAAAGGTGAAGACTTCATAAAGATGAGAAACATCTTCATGATGACGGAGACAGTGGCAGACACTGCCTCCTGACCGAGTCATAGGATGTGGCCGTGGACATTGGGGAAAACGTGCCAAGTAAATTCAGGAGAAATAAAAGGAAGTGTTACTTACAGTGACCACACCAGGGTAACTGGCTTTCATCTGGAAAGCTCAACCAAGGACAGACTGCTGAATGACCAGTCGCCCCGTGGTACTGTTAATGCTTTATGCTGTGTGGAACACCAATTTGTCCTAAGGAAATTCAGTGGTGGACCCTGAACATCTTTGTAATAAACGAAATAGCTCGCAATTCCTGTTCACATTTCCTGTTCTATTTAACACATAAAATAATAGTACACTATTACTCTTTTTTTTTTTTATCCTCACCTGAGGACATTTTTGCATTTATCTTCAGATAGAGTGAGAGGGAGGCAGGGGGGAACAGAGAGAGAGAAATGTCGATGTGAGAGACACATCGACTGGTTGCCACCACATGACACCAACCAGGGTGGGGACAACCTGCAACTGAGGTACATGCCCCTAGTGGGAACTGAACCCAGGACTCTCTGGTCCATAGGCTGATGCTCTAACCACTGAGCAAACTGGCCGGAGCTGGCAATATTATTCTTAATCTACAGAGAAAGCTGCTAAGACCCAGATTGGTTAAAGAACTTGACCAGGGCCATGGTGAGTTGCCAATTCACAAAAGCCAATAAAGCAGGGTGGACACTGGCCATTCCAGGTGCAGGGCCTCACAGAGGAGCCTCTGAGTCAGGACCTTGGTCAACCACGAGGACGAGGACAACGGGACGTGTGGAGTCTGTGGTGATGCAGAACCAAGGAGGCGACATGGAGACATCACAGGGTTGCATGAGAAACAGAGCAAAAACATATTACAGAGCTTATTTTGTAACCTTGGCTACTGTCACTATAGTTTCAAGAAAAAAATGTTTTTCTAAACCTTCGGAGCATCGCCCATATGTCTGCCTCCATCTGCCGGTCCCTCAGCCACAGCCCAGCGCCGCCCGGTGTCTGAGCCCAGGCAGCCCCGGACAGGGCTCACCTCAGGGAGGCAGTTCTCTGCTTTTCTCCTTGTGAGCATTTTTATGTTTTAGGAGGAAAGGTGATAAATTGCAGAAAGGCCACTGTAAACAGCAGCCCTACTGCCCGGCTGGTGTGGCTCAGTGGTTGAGCACTGACCCTGCACCAGGAGGTCACCGGTTTGATTCCCGGTCAGGGCACAGGCCCAGGTTGTGGGTCCATCCCCAGTGGGGGGCGTGCAGGAGGCGGCCAGTCGATGTTCTCTCTCATCAATGTTTCTATCTCTCTCTCCCTCTCCCTTCCTCTCTCTCTAAAACCAATAAAGGAAAAAAAGGAAATTCAAACAGTAGCACTACTCACCGGTCATGAAAAGCAGGGATCTTGGAAGGACACTGCAAATACTGCTTAAACCGGAGCTCGAAGGCTTGTCCGATGGAGCCGATGACGTCCTGGGCCAGCCCGTCACAGCATTCCAGAATGTGACAAGCTGTGGGAGCCAGAGAGCCGTGCCCGTTAGAGACAGACGCTGGAGTTCCCAGGCTCCTGCACAGAAGCCCTCCGGGGGCGAGACCGGTCAGCCCCAGAGAGAAGGGGGACAAGGAGGTGCACGTGCTTTCCATAACGTGTCGTGGAGGCTCCGCCTGCAGCTTCATCCCAGTATCCCCATCAGATGCGTTCCTTAATAGCCTGTTCTCTCTAAAACTGCAAAGGAATCCATGCGGCAGGTGCGTACCATCCCTAAAGGACACACTGTCCCGTGACAGGCTGGAGCACAACCCATGGAAAACCTCCTGAAAAAAAAGGGTGGCAGGGGAAAGGCAAGACAAGGCCCCACTTCTGCTCTCCAGGGTAGTGACTGTCCACAGCATCCCAGAGGAGCCCGCCTCGACCAGTCGCCATGACCAGCAGGACACGCCTTGTTAGTGATGGGGTAGAGGCAGTCTCCCTGGAGAACAGAGCAGATGCGTGTCTCACTTCACCTTCCTCTTGCTGATGGTCAGCATGTAACTATCTCAGGGAGGGTCCTCCGGGAGTGCAGCCAATGCCAGCAGTGAGGAGGAGGCATTTCTACAAGGGTAGTTGTTCTCAGGCACCAGAGACCCCGAACTGCGCTCTGGCTGCAGAGAAGCCAGCACACACGGGGAAGAGGACCCCCTACGGTGGGCAACTTCACAGGAAGGCAGGCATCGCTGCCGTTGAAGCCTGGCGACTTCCAGCACGATGCTGCCTTCCCTGGGCACAGAGCCAGCGGAGCTCACCTGGATGGCAGCTGCCAGGCCCAGCGTCCTCAGTTTCTGCCCCGCCTCAGGCCGGAGGGGCGCACACTCCTGAGGACACAAGGGATGCTGTGCCAGGGCCTGCACTGCACTGGGGACCGCCATGCTGTCCTGGATACACTGAGTGTGACCAGGGCATGGGTGCCAAGGAGACAGATGTCCCAGCTGTGTTTTTCTTGTTGACTATTGACATTAGCATTTAAGTATCAACCCAGGTGGGCACCAAGCAGGCCCATGTGAAATGGCTGTTGGAGTTGCCGGGTACTGGTTAACTGATAGGAATGGACGGTCCTTCCAGCTGAAGGGAGAAGGGGTCGAGGCAGGTGTGAGAGAAAGACACCGGCTTCCCCGAGCCCCCTATTTCCAGCCACGTACCCCACTCCCAGAATCGACCACAGGAGCTGGTGGGCCGGTCCTTTGGAGAACCAGAATGGAGACCAGGAAGGGGTGAAGAAGGCTCCTTGTCTGTCTCTGGAGGAGATTAGCCCTGACCTGGAACACTGAGTGAAGAGTCAGGCTTGGGCGGAGAGGCCCACAACCCACAACGCCTCTCGTCCTCCACAGGCCAAGGGACAGCGTTCCAGGTGGCAGCACCCTCTCTGGTGCCCAAACGGGCAGAATGAGTGGGCTCTGCCACCTGGCTCATCCTCAATGGACCAAGGAAACAGCACCTGTGGCTGGGCATTAGGTTCCTTCCATAAAGTGCCCTCTGTGTGTTCAGAAGCTTACTCCAAAACCCAAACCCTGGCTGCCAGCCTCGCTCCTGTTATTTTCTCTGAGTATCGCAACGGTCTCTCGCCAAAAGCCATCCTCTTCTAACCTGGCCTGCGTGACTTGGTGTGCGTGGGAAATGAGGGGGCCCTCACCAAGGTGAACGTTGGGGTTGCTTGCTTCACTCCCCTGAAGAAAGGACAGCGCTGGAGGCACCATTCATGAGCAAGAAGGAGACCAGATGAGATACGTATAGAGCCAAGACTCAAAATGATGTTGTGAAACCTAAAACATGGCCCAAAGCAAACACAGGGCGCTGGCCCTTCGGCAGCTGTAGAAGGTGACACTGGAGAGGAAGCCTGAAGGAGGTCAGGGAGGGCACCATGTGAAGGTCTGCTGTGAGAAAGTCACAGTCAAGGGCTCAGCAGGTGCAAAGGCCCTGAGGCAGGTGCTGGCTTGGTGTTCAGGGAAGAGCCAGCAGTCCTGGAGCTGGAGGCGGGAGGGAACAGTGGGGAATGAGACAGCTCAGAGCAGGACGGAGCTCACTGGGGTCTTGTGGGCATGGTGATGAGACTAGCACATGCTTTGTGGAGGGAGGACAGACTCGGAGCTGTGGCTTATCAAGTATGACCCCTGAGCACAGAGGTGCAGCAAATTTATGTAATTTGTCATTGCAATGTCACTGCAGTCCAGCTCTCAGCCAGAGGCCTTGAAGAACATTCAGAGTCTCCAACACAAGGCGAATAAAGCCCAGGGCCTGGCTTGTCTGTACAATCACTGTTGACAATAGCCAAGTGTGTAGCAACCTAAATGTCCACTCATAGGAAAACTAACCTCGGGCCTAGTATTCTAGATGGAAATTAACCTTCCAGTTAAAACAAGAACAACAAAGTAACCATTGTTTCCACCACGGTGCAGGTACATTTTTGTTTACAGAGGAAAGAAAGTCAGAGGAGGTGCTTTGTTCTTTGGCCCCAGTGAGATCATAGTATTTAAGGCTTTCCCCAGCAGTCACCACCGGCAGCCTACAACTGTCCAAGGCAGAGCAACCCCAGTTTTTGCTGAAACAACCCTGTGCTGTTAGAGAAGCCGCAGGAGGCACGTGTGGCCACTAGAGGCAGCATTCCCACGTGGGGTTCCTGCTCCAGCCTTCACCCAGCTTCCCGTCACTCCGGAAACCTTGGAGAAGCTATTTAGGAGGAACACGTGGGTCTCCTTCCCGTTAGGTCAGCACCAACTACGTATGGGAGATGACTCTCCACCGCCGATCCGGTTCCAGAGGGTGCCTGAACAGGGACGTCATTGCAATGACAAATTACATAAAGAATCTGCCTCCGGTGGCAGCTGTATGTCTAACCAGAGCATCATTTTTAGCTGCTTCTGTGACTCAGTGCAATCGGAGCGAATGCGTACATAAGACTGCAGGGCACGGGAGTCATCAGGTAGGAAATGAAGGTTCCAGGGGGGAAAAATGTGTTAGGAGCCAGCAAATCCTGATTTGTTGGGAGTTTTATGTCTTCACGTGTAGTTGTGGCCTTCTGGGTCTACTGGCCCTGCCCTTTGACTGGAACATGCCGACCTCATGCACCTTCACGCGTGTGTGTCCCTTGTCTCCGGGCGGTGTTGGAAGAGCTTCCTACACTCATGAGTGTGCCTTTGTCCTTCCACCAGTTAGTTACATAAGCCACCGATTCCTGATGCCGATTCTCACTGCAAAGAACTTCCGGAAAGCTGGGCCGCTGTGGCTCAGTGGCTGAGCATCGACCCTGCACCCAGAGGTCGCCGGTTCGATTCCGGTCAGGGCGCATGCCCAGGTTGTGGGCCCAGTCCCCAGTGGGGGGCGTGCAGGAGGCAGCCAATCGATGTTCTCTCTCATCGATGTTTCTAGCTCTCTCTCCATCTTCCTTCCTCTCTCTCTAAAATCAATAAAGAAAAAAATTAAAAAATAATAATAAATAACTTCTAGAGAAACAAAACAAAACAAAAAAAACCCATAAAAATGTATAGGCAGGAATCGTCATGGAAAAGACATGGTAACGTGAGAAACTGACCGATTGCAGGATTCTGACAGAAGACTTTCTGGGCCCCAGATGTGCCTGCAGCCCAGGGACCACTCCGCATATCAACCGGACCTCTGCGAGGGTAGCTAGATATTTAAGGGCCCAAATAAGAACATCTACTCCCAGAGTTTCTTGCTAGTCTGACTCCGGAATGGCAGAGGCCATTCTTAACTGAATTAAGCCAGCCTGGCCCAGGGGAGGCGGAGGGAGAACAGAAGCAGCCAGGGAAGCCCTCCGCCGCCCCGCACGAGGGGATGACTGCGGGATGGACACCTGTGGAAGGAGGCAAAGCACGTTCCGAGCTCATGCTCCCAGCTGGAACCGGAGCCACCTCCCAAAGGCTGGCCCGCCTGTGTGGGAAGAGCACGCGCCTGGGGAAGGCTGCTGAGCCATCGGAGGGGCCGGCCCCCCTGCCTGTGCGTCTGAGCCGGCCGTGCTGCTGGGGCCCTACCGATGCAGCAGGGGTGAGGCTGCGCCTGGCCTTTCAGGGCCCTGAAGCCTCCACTTTGCTCTTGTGGAGCCCAGAGCTGCCGCGTGGAAGCCCTACTGGCCTGATGGGGGGCGGGGAGGGAGAAGGACCCTGACAGCGGAGCCTCCTACTCATCCCTACCAAGGTCTGAGGCGTGGAAGCGAAGTAAACTTGGACCCTCTAGACCAGGCCAGCCACCAGCCAAAGCCACCCAGTGACCCCACTGATGCTGCATGGAGCGGAAGAAGCGCCGACTGAGCCCCGCCTGGATCCGCGACACTCAATCATCTCAGAAGCCACTGAACTTTGAGTCGTTTGTTACAGGCAGTAAAGGATGGAAAGAAGGCATGAACATCCCCCACCAAGTGTGGCAAAGGGCCCCTTGCCAGGTGCCCCCAGAATGCCAGCACTAGGGCAGAGTTCAGCATCCGCCGTGCATGGGCCTCCACAGGCCCCCTCTGGGAGCCCGACGCAGCCACCGCTGGGCATGTGGACGGGGCTCTGATTCCCACAGCTTTGGGAAGGCTCTGTGGACTAAAGTCCTCCTGGCTGTGGCTCTGAGCAGGTAGCAGCCTGTACACGCCCACGGCCCCAAGTCCAACCGCACTGGACTAACCTCCCTCGGGCGGAGCCTCATTTCCCAGCCCTGGCTGTGCGTGGGGCTCACCTGGACAGCTTTCCAAATACACTTGCCTGGGCCACACTCTCTGAGGCCTGAGCCAGGCCTGAGGTTTTTTTTGTTTTGTTTTGTTTTTTATCCTCACCCGAGGACATTTTTTCATTTTTTGTTCAGGTAGAGTGGGAGGGAGAGAGAGGAACAGAGAGAGAGAGAGAGAAACATCGATGTGAAAGGAACACATCGAGTGGCTGCCACCCGCACAACCGACCAGGGCCGGGGACAAACTGCAACCGAGGTATGCGCCCTTAGCGGGAACCGAACCCGGGTCTTTCAGGACCGCAGCAGGCCTGAGGTGTTTAAAAGGTCCCCCAGTGACTCTAAAATGTAGTTCGTGTTCAAGAACCACTGACCCAAGAGCCACCAAAAATGTCAAAAATGTCTAGGATTGCTTGGAGTTCATGTCACCAACCACCAGCCCTGGAGGAAACGGAATTCTGTGCCTGGCGGTGCAGACTGCCACCCCCCCCCCCAACTTGGTGGGGCCTCGGGGTGGTTAAAGGGATGGGCCTCTCTCGTGGGTTAAATTGTGTCCCCCAGGAAAGACGTGACCTTACTGAGTAATGGGGCCGTTGTAGACACACCCATTAAGATGAGGTCAGGCCGGATGGGTGGGTCTCATCCAGCATAACTGTTGTTCCTACAAGATGTCCACATGAACACAGAGGTACGCTCAGGGCACAGGCCACGTGAAGACCGGGGGTCGCAGTGATGCATCCACAAGCCCAGGATGCCAAGGATGGCGGGCACACCACTGGAGGCTGGCAGAGGCAGGAAGGATCCTCCCTGCAGCCTTCAGAGGGAGCCTGGCCCTACCAGCACCTTGACCTCAGACTTCCGGCCTCCAGAACTTGAGGCACCCAGCTTACAGTTTATACAGTAGCCCTAGCAAACTAATAGCCCAGCCTCCGACTGGAAGAACGCGCTTGCGTTGAGCTGCCGTGGTCGCCGCCTCGCCAGAGCCAGTACTGGTTCTGTATACATCACGCAAAAGCTGCTTCAAGTTCAAGACGTGCTGGGCTAGAGCGCGTTAGCAGGGGTGTTGGTGACAGTCCTCAACTCAAGACCACCTTGCCCCCTTCCCATCTACCCTGAAAACTTTGTAACTATCCCACCTCTGGTTTAGGAGCGACAATGGGCTGTTATAGTACATTGTCTGACCTCCAACACCCCCTCTGAAATCCCCCACCCCCCAGACTCCCCAGGGACAGCTTCTCAGGGAGCTCACCTGGAGGAGAGTAACAGCTAACACCTGTGTCAGATCTTATCTTCATTCCCAAGAAAGAAAAGGCAGCCACCATGTTACTGCTTACTAACCAGGGTGGACACGTCTCCAGTGGAAACTCATCCTCACACACGGGCGTGGGAATGGGAATGCTCACGGCCAGTCTGCGCGGGAATTTGCAAGGCCCCCCGAAGTGTCAACACTGTAACACTGTTTCTCTGCACACGCCCCTCGGGGGGCCGTGCACCATCGCGGGGAAGAACACGCTGGCCCCGGGCCGTGTGGACCTGAGGGCAGATCTCAGTAGAGCCACGTCACGGCTCTCATCTCGGCTCTCTTCAAAGTACGTCCAAGATATAATGGGAGGGGGCAGACGAAATAGAATGAAAGATCGCATTCGTATTGAAATTTTAAAAGAAGAAAACATATGTGTAAGTATATAAATAAAAAAGTTCTGTACACCAGAGAAACTTAACAGCTGGCACCTGGGGCAGAGGGTGGGGCGAGGAGGGAACCAGTGGGTAGTGAGGGGAGTGTTGTTTTGCATTGTTTCCAACCCCACTGGTGATCGTGGTCAGTGAGTTCTGAATGGGAGCTGTGTGGCGAACCAGGGGCTGCCTGGTGTTCAAGGGCAGCACCCCCTTCGCCAGCCCACCCACCCAGGCTTGTTAGCCTCCAGTGAGTGGGGCTCTGTTGTTTAAGTGATAAAAATGGGGTGGTAGTGTTCAAGGAGATTCTCGGAGTAAAGGGTCCATGAGGATGGGAAGTACTTGAATGCCTTGGACCCCCCACCCAGCCTGGGCAGCTTTGAGGGGCATAAGGGGACAGCACCTAAGCTGGGACACCAGCCTTGGGGCTGTGCAGGCAGCGTGAGGCTTCTCCGGGAGACTTAGTCAACAGCGGACACCCAGGAGCTGGAGCTCATCAGGAGGCCGGGTGACCGGTCATGTCCCGTGAGTAACGGGGCCACTTTCAGAGCATGAGTGGGAGCTGCTCTGAGCAGGTGCTCCCAGCAGGAGCCAGCTGGACACAGGTTGTGTTTGGAGCTCACAGACCCAGCCAGGTGTGCTGCCACGCTTGACTGCCTGCAGGTTACAGTGACCATGAACAATGTGACCACGAGCATGCGACATTCTGAGGTTCATTCAGCGAAGGGGCTGAGCCGACAGGTGCACCTGTGTTAACATCCGGTGTCAACCTGGCTGTGTTCGAGGACAGATGCCGAGGGTCAGGCACTGCTTACCTCTGCGATTAACAGGGTCCTTCGCTACATAAGCGACATAGTCTGTCGTGTCCTGTGGGAAAAAATGAGATGCTCACATCACTAACCACATGGCACAGACCAGCTCAGGAACAATATGCTGCTCAAATACAGCCCAGGAGGTGACCTTTCTCAAACTGGACCACGGGCAGGAATCACGGGGGCCAGGAGTTGTCTTGTGAAATGCAGATTCTGACTTGGGGGGAAGTCCGGGCGGGGCCTGAGCTCTGAGTCCACAGCTCACCAACCCACTCCCGCTGCTTCCCCCGCACACACACGGAGCAGCGAGGGGAAAGGGCACCGGTTTCCAGCGCGTTGGATCACTGAGGAGCTTAGAAAACACCACATCCCTCCCAGGTAACGATTTCACTGAATCGGGTGTGAAGCCTGCAGGGTCCGGACGTCGGAAAGCTCCCTGATGACCCCGGTGTGAACCATGGCTGAGAACCACTCCCGCCAGCTCTGTCCACAGCAGTGGTCCTCAGCTCGGAGCCGGCATCAGAATCCCCCGCAGAGCTGAACGCACAGATCGCCAAGTCCCACCCCAGGTGTCCCATCCGGCGCACAAACGTGCACTTGCAAGTTCCCAGGTGCTGCTGCTGCTGCTGCTGCTGCTGCTGTCCTGGGGCCTCCCTGACAAGCGCTGGTCTAGGAGGAGCTCAGCGGCTGAGTTCAGAGGTCGGCTGCAAAGACTCCCTCACGGGGATGACACACCACGGTTCTCTTCTTCTCCGACAGCAGTAGTGATTTTAATTCTTTTAAGGTGTTTCAAAAATATGAGCTTGAGCCCGGCCAGTATGGTTCAGTGGTTGAGCATTGACTCAGGCACCAAGAGGATGCTGGTTCGATTCCCAGTCAGGGCACATGCCCAGGCTGTGGGCCTGATCCCTGTGGGGGGCATGCAGGAGGCGGCCCATCGATGTTCTCTCTCATCGATGTTTCTCTCTCTCTCTCTCTCTCTCTCTCTCTCTCTCCCTTCCTCTCTCTCAAATCAATAAAGGAAAAATATATATTTTTTAAATACGAACTAGATCCCTACACACGGAAGCCAAGCCTCCTTGAGGCCTCCTCACCTAACCAGGGCGCAGACACCACAGCTCAGAGGGCCCGAGGGAACCATGTGCATTTTGTTTCTAAACAGCCACAGGAACTGATAATTCTCTTAATTCATGAACGCGGAAGAGAGTTCTCTGCAAAGTTGGCATTTCCAACATGAAAAAGTCTCAAGGGGTGGCGGGCAGCTGCTGAAGTCCTAGCTATACCGAGTCCCCGGTGTTCCCGCTCCGGAGGGCCGCTCAGTCACGGATTCGCTCCGTTTCCAGCCCCTGAAAGTCTCTGCGCCCAGGGCCTTCGTCCTTAGGCCTTCTCTGTCTAAGGCGCTCCGGGGAACCCTCCAGTGAGAGAGGGAGCAGCATGTGGGTGGGCGCACGATGGTATGCAGCGCCCCCTACAGGCGCTGGGTGGTGAAGGCACTCTGCGTACCATTGCCCCCGAGCTCGATGGGCCAGGGGACCAAGCAGAGGCCCCTCCAGCATAGCTTCCTGTAATAGGCTACAGCACCGGGGTCGACGGCAGTGTGCAGCCCGGCTAAGCTGTCTGCAGCGAGGGTGTAAAGGACACTTGTTCCCAGCACGTTGGGTATATTCACAGTCTACTGCTATGTTCACAGACTGACCAGGGAAAGGGAGCACGAGACTGTCAAACAGTCCCCCTGGCTTCCAGTCACTTCCATCTGGGAAGACTCCGAAGCTACTGGCAAACATAAGGCTTGTAGCTTGTAAGCAGAGACCTCCTCCTGGATTCAGGAGATGTTAATGCCAGAGGTTCCTTAGGGAGTGCTAGTGCTTCTCAAACTGAGATCCATGGAACCTAGGGTTGGGCAGGTATATCCCCCCGTGCTTGGGATGTCACCAGAATTTCCTTTGAATTGTGCATTTTCATTTTCATGATAATCTTAGAAATTAATACAAGAATATTCAGGATCATCTGCATGACCAACGTGTCATCCTATTCTGCATACAGTTTTAGTACCAAGAGTTTTAGGTGGGTTTCCAACATTATGGGTATCGGGGTTTTTAAAAATTAGGTAGAAAAGAACCATCATCTAGTCAGAAAAGAGGAGATGTCTTTGTCCCACCTGAAGCAAATTAATGTCACATTTATACACAATGATGTACAATTAAGTGTTTGCTTGAATAGAATGAACGAGTGGGGGAGCTGAGTCTTGGGGCACCCATGAGGAATGCCGACCCCAGAGGATTCTGAGCGTACCATGGCAGCCAGTTCTGGTAACACACAAAGAGCAGAGATTCTGTTTCAGCAAAACTTTGCCCATCACAGTAAGTTAATGTTACTTTGAACGTTATTGGCTTTACTGTGTTTATTAGTAAACTTCCAAGTTTGGTTGGGGTTTATAGTTCAATCAAAAGTATAACATAGCAGTCTGTTAACATACTTTCTTTGTACATATTTGGCTAACAACATTAATTTGAGTTAATATTAGTGACACACACAAGAAAAGTGTTCTTTTTAAATTCTTATTTCGATCTGAGAAACTCTGCTCGGAAGATATGATGTGTCCCCATGACTCCAATGGTCAATAGCCAAGCCAGGACATGGCTTTTCTGATGCCAATATTAATTTTTTTCTGGCATAGCAGGGGAGTGTATTGCTGTTCAAAACAATGTTCTTGACATCACACAGTGAGCACACAAAGTTGCAAAGGGGGTTACCAAGAGCTTGTTCTGTGTTCACCCATCTCTGTTCTCACTCTCCAAGACCTGACCTGACCATTACTGTGGCATTCGTTGGGTGGTCTTTTAACACTGCTAATAATATAGATTACAGTTCATGTGTGCCCTCTTTTCTTGGAGGGATTAACAATATTTTCCAGTCTGTCTTATTTGATATTTCAAATACCATTTTCTTATCAGGTAAACTGAGGCACGAAGCAATTAGTAGATATATGCTTGGCAACAGAACAACAAATAGAACCTAGAATTTTTGGTTTTATTTAAAACACCTACCAACTGTAAAAATGACAAATCAAGTTGGTACGGAAGTCACGGAGAACATGATGTGCATTTGGATTGGTTACAGGGAAGTGGGAAGTAACCAGCTTCCTGGGGTGACATTGTCTACATCAGAAATATCAGAAGCAACATAAAAGCTTATGAATCACTTTAAGGGTCCCTGAATGCACCCCAAAGAGGTGACAGGGAAAATGGAAAAAAGTTCGCAGACCTGTGTGCATCCTGGGGAATAAAATAATTTTAACACAAGACAATGTACTCGGCTTCCCATTTTCTAGGTCTGTGCATCCGCATTCATGACATCGTCATGAAGATGAAGTTTGACACATGTTCCTGGAAGGAGCTGTCAGTGCAGGCATGCAATGTTTCTGCCTTTTATTTTTCAAACTGGGTCACCTTCCAAATTTAAGAAGCTGTGGTTCCACGCATCACTTTGGGCAAACAAGTAGAAGGCCACTGCAAGCTCAGTTGAGCAGATTCGGATGGAGGCGGGAGTCAGCGCAGAGCCGTGAGCCAGTGCGGTGCAGGCACAGGGCACGCACGTCTGGATGGAGCCCTCCAGAATGACCTCTGACGGGCTGAGCGTGGAAGACTCCCCCCTTCCAAATATACAACTCGATGAGTCTTTCACTTTATGGTGAAACATAACAAAGTAAAGGATTAGAAAGTAAAGGAAGGGAAGGGAAAAAGAGGAAGAAATCATCATGAGAGACTTCAAAACAAGGCCCAAAGTATGAAAAAAGGGCCAGTCTACTAAGTGAGATGGTGTCATGGGGGTCTGGTCAGCTTTTGGCAATTGAGCAGAGGTTTAAAGGCAAAGATCTGCCTGCAGGGTGGACAAATCCCTCCTCTTGACAGTGCCCTTGGCTCAGGGGTCTGCAAGGGGAAGGCGCCAAAACTCTCCCTGCAGCTGAGCTCTCGGGGCAGGAGGGATGCTGTGGTGACACCTGTGGGAATGCCTCCCCAGGGGCCCTAGCCGCTGAGGGAGGGCAGGGTGGGGCGCTGGCTCTCCTGTAGCTAAGATCCTCGGTGCCATGACTGCACTGTCCTTTGGAAATGTAGAGACTGAAGCCAGCATTGGAAATCGCTCCCTCGATTCGGCTTTCAATGTGGCAACAGCAGTTTTACGATCAGGGAGAAGGAGCCCGGGAGGAAAGGTCTGTAAGACAGACATGCAGTGGAAAACCCCTTCCTGGGCTAGAAACAGACAAGTCCCTGCCTGGGATAGGAGTCATATATCCACTGATTCCTCAGGCGACCTTGGACCAGTCATTGTATTTAAGATCTGAGCATTGTTTACTGATAATTTGGCAAAATAATACAAAACAACAACTATAACAAAAGTACCACTATTCTTTTATTATAAAAAATGTTTTAGCAGAAAAAGGACATCTTCCAAGGATACAGAACAATTTTTTTAATTGAATAGATTTAGCTCCAAGAAAAACTCACTCTATGGCCCTAATATATAGATGTTTGCCTGGGTGAGAACTTTGCCCAGACCAATGAAAAATAACATGACAACATTTGGAGAAGACTCTTTTTTTATCCTCACCCGAGGACATTTTTCCATTTTTGTTCAGATAGAGTGGGAGGGAAAGAGAGGAAAAGAGAGAGAGAGAGAGAAACATTGACGTGAAAGACACATCGAGTGGTTGCCTCCTGCACAACCCTAGCCAAGGCCGGGGACAAATCTCAACCAAGGTACATGCCCTTGACTGGAGTCAAACCCATGACTCAGTGGTCCGCGGGCCGACACTCTCACTGCTGAGCCAAACCAACCGGGGCTGGGAAGAATCTTTTCTCCCCTTCACTTCGGAGACAGCTGCACGTGTTTCCTCCCAGCTCCCCCTGCACCTCCTTCCCTCTTGACCGGCTCCCTGCCTGGGGTTTCAAAGGGCTGGACTGTCCACTGCGGACAGCAGTGAGTGGGCAGGCGTGGCCCTGGTCCCGCCTGTCCTGACACTGACATCGGACGAACCCCTCCTTATGGCACCTTCTCAGAGGATAAGCAGCACCAAACAGAATATTCTCACTCTCCTCTGTCTGTTTCTGCACCTCCTCCCCTGCTGGCTACACGAACCATTAAGACTACAGTGTCAAATCTGGAGAGAAAAATGCCAATTTCAAACATGCATGAACAAACTAGACTAAGTCAATTCACAGCCTTCGAGTGGACCTAAAACACAAGGACAGAGGCCCCCGCGGAGGTCCCATGGAAGAACAGGAGCAAGGCGGGCAGTCAGGAGACCGAACACCTGGCATCTCTGAAACGCCAGGGAGGTCTGCCCCGGCCTCTGAAGAAAGCCAGTGTTGACAGCTCTTGGCTAATAAAATGAAAATGTAAAACTTATGTAATCAAGAGGGGGGAATAGTTGGCATCACAGTAAACTTTCTTGATGGTATCCTAAGAGGCGCACCTTGGAAACAGGGCCCTTCCCAGCAACTCCCAACAAGAAGAGAACACGATGCCAAGGGCACTTACCGGGTCCCCCCCGGAGGCGAAGGAGATGGACTGCATGTGGTGGTTCGCTATGATCTGCCCAAAACAAGAAACAAGAGGTACCGTTATTACCTTCCCGTGTCTCGGAAACCAACCGTTTGACAGGCACAGGCAATACCAATCAACAAGTTTTCCCCAAAATTGGGCAAATTGGTACCCAACGCAAGTAACAATGATAAAAGTAATAATAGCTTTCAATGAATTTCACAGCATGTCAATGCTCAGCCAGCAGCTTTGCCAGAATTAGCTCATTTAGCCTTGTGATGTAGGAGCTGCTGCGATCCCATTCCACAGATGGGGAGCCTGAGGCCCAGAGGGACCAATCGGCTTGCTCAAAGTACTACAGCTAGAAATGGGCAGAGCTGTGATCGAACACAGAGGATCTCAACCACCACACCTCTTTGAGAAGGAAACTGTCCTACCCGCACCCCAGAACATTTCCACTGTGTTATGTCCATTTCCAAAGACACGTAGGGTCTTCAACATAGACTCCATAGCTGGAGTGGAGGGAAGGGTGGCTGTCCCCCACTTCAGACCCTTACATCGTGTGCCCACACACTGGAAGCCAGCATCCAAGATCAAAACTGGCACTCTTGCAATTTATCAATTTAAAAACTGGAGAGGACATTCCAAGTTTGTTTTTCAATGGGAAGTTTCCATTAGCATTATAAACTGCAGGGTACAGTGGAAATTAGCAGACGCTGAGTAAATTAGAAGCTGCCCTAAATTTAAAAAGCTATATAAGTCTTCCACGCTACTTTTATCTTTTTAAAGACAATGCAGTGACATTGAAGTACATTTCTGGGGGTGGGAACAGTCCTCTTGTCTCCCTCCCCGCATACCCAGGTTTATTTTTGCTCAGCCCCCTCAGGCCCTGGCTGGTGGGCAGCCAGAATTTACAGAGCTCCAATCCTACCAGCTGAGGGATTTTTCCAGCCATGCTCCTGCAAAACCGAAGCAAAACTATAAATAAATTGTAAGATAAAATAAGATATTTTTAAATGCCTACTTCAGTTTTGGGGACATGCAAAACTACTCAAGATCTAGAAAAACCTGAGCATATAGTAGTTAAGTTTGAGAGAGAGTCAAAGGTTATACACAGCTTTTTGACTGCACAGGGGTCAGCACCCCTAACCCCAGCACTGTTCAAAGGTAAACTGTAAATGAATGAAAACAATGAGGCCTGCTCTGTAGCCTGTGCCCAAGCCCAGATGGATCAAGAAGTTGCCTTCTGCAGCTCTCTGGAATCCTGCCACTGGTGCAGGGGTGGAGGGCTCCTGGGGGTGCCATGGGGACGTAGCAACCGCCAAAAGGTGATAAATGATGACTTCTAAAATTGAATTTGTTTATTAATTTTTGCATATTTAATTGTTACATACAAAGCAGCACTGAAACCGGGGTTTGGAAATCAAAGTGGACACTAAGATTTAGGGGGGAAATAGAAATCATATTTGGGTGCAGCCAGTGTGGCTCAGTGGTTGAATGTTGACCCATGCACCAAGAGGTCACCAGTTTGATTCCCGGTCAGGATACATGCCCAGGTTGTGGGCCTGGTCCCCCGTGGGGGGCACGCAGGAGGCGGCCAAGCTCATTGATGTTTCTATCTCTCTCTCCCTCTCCCTTTCTCTCTCTCTCAAATCAATAAAGGGAAAAAAAATTTTAAAAAGAAATCATATTTGGTGAGCATAATGCATAACCATTGTTGTTTGCGCGTATATTATCCCTTTGGCTAAGAGAACTGAAAGGGAGTTAACTAACTGAAAGCATGTGTTTTTGCTCTGAGGCTGTTTCATCTTGTTCTTCTCCCTGGGAGCCCTGCAGGGGGAGCAGGCACTACCCTTCTGCTGTCTGTCTGCACCTGGAGGGAGTGTCCTCCGGGCTTGATCTGTTTGCTACAGCCAGGCCCTGAACTCAGCCAGGCGGGACAGCCAGAGAGATGTGAGCTTCGGCTCCTATCGAACCACGCTCATGATGTCCGAGCTGGCATCCCCCGGGGCTCACTCCCACCCACCTGAACCAAGGGCAGGACAGTGAAAACTGGCACAGTCAACCAGGCCATATCCCAGGATAGAGAGGGCCAGCCATGGTGACCTCCTCCTTTCTGGTCTAAGTTTGCTTCTCTTTATTTTGAATAAAGAGAAATTAGGAGCTAAGATCCCGCAGAACTCAGGACCAGGGTTTCAGGATTCCTTAAAACAAAACATGCAACCTCCACATAGAGTAAGAGTGGATGTGGACCTGAGGGGACCAGCCTCTGTTAGTCACCATGGGCGCTCAGACTGGGACAGCTCCAGAGACAGGCTGAGCCTGTTGAAGTTACCTAATCCACCACTTCCCTGACAGGTTAACCCATCCCTCAGAAGCACCAATGAGAAAAGACAAGGAATCATCTATCACTCGAGTGAGGACAAAGGGATGGAGCCGGAAGCGGCATCCAATATATCCAAACAAAGCCCAGACATTGCCTCTTGTTTCTACTCTGGGTCTAGAATTTCTTTCAACGTCTTGGGTGGGGTGGGTAGAGCAGAGAAATAAATGGGGCTGGAAATGTTGCTTTGTTTGCCTGGGGAATTTGAAAAGTCATAAATAAGAGTAAGTGTAGCAACATAAAGGTACTCCTGGGCATCCCTGATGACACTTGCCAGAGTCAGAAAGGGGATCATCCCTGTCCTGTGGACTGCCCATCTTTCACAGCGTGGACACATCTGATTTCCAGTTCACACTGCCAGCACCTTGGCCCAGGCTGAGTGGGGCAGGTGAAGGCACTCATATGGTTACAAGCCTTTCACCTGTTCATATTCAGGGTGACTACTCATATACACATTTGAGCCCTGATGTTAAACAATTGCCTGTAATTTTTTTTTTTTTTTTTTTTTTTTAACAAATATCCCTGGGAAAAAAGCATTTTCCCTTGGCAAGCTCTAAATCAGGTCAAATAAAGACAGCCTTGACGTTAGCGTAGGTAACTAGTTAGTAGTCACAAAGGAAGGGAGCAAAGGGCATGAGATGTTTAAAAAAGTCTAATAACTAGGGAGCTGAGTTAAATATCAAGCCTGACTTAGGAGGAAGCTGTAACACCCGCATCTCCCCAGGACAGAGCCAACCATCATCCAGGACGAGGGAGGGATGAAACAATAAGGTACAAAGTCTTCTGCTGGACGCATGCCCAGTAGAAGCCAAGCTGCCGCAGAGGGAGGTGCTTCTACTGTGAGGCATGTGCAGTAGGAACCAAGATGGTGACCAAAAGGGGTGGAGCCTAGCCTGGGAAAAGGATCGCATTGGATGAGAGACACAGAACACTAAATATCTAGGAAATGGATTGGTTAGGGGGAGGACCCAGCACAAGCCCACAAAGGGTTGGGATATTGATTGGTTAGTTTAAAAGAGGGCCGGCCCCATCCCAGGCCCCAGATAATGTAATCAAAGCTTGGCAAAGGCCTCTGCTCAGTAACAGGTCTCTCTTTGCAGCAGCCATGCAGGCGTAGCAGCCTCCTTGAGGCCCAGGTACAGCAACCCAGCGGGAAAAGAGACTAAGCTAGTCCAATGTGGACAGAGACTGAGTTGGACTGAACCGAACTACACCCAGCTTCTGCTGGACCCATGGAACAGAATTTCTGGACCCTGGCCTTCCTTCTGAGATTGAGGAAGACGCGGCTGGACTACTTACAGCCGGACAGAGGGAGATGAGGCACCAGGAACCTGAAGGCAGTCTTTTATTTCTCCCGCAATAAATCTTACCTCATCCGCCCTGGCCGGTTTGGCTCAGCGGTTAGAGCATCGGCCTGCGGTACAGAGAGACCCGGGTTCGGTTCCTGCTAAGGGCATGTACCTCGGTTGCAGTTTGTCCCCGGCCCTGGTTGGTCGTGCGGGTGGCAGCCACTCGATGTGTCCCTTCACATCGATGTTTCTCTTTCTCTCTCTTCCTCTCTCTCCCTCCCGCTCTATCTGAACAAAAAATGGAAAAATGTCCTCGGGTGAGGATTAAATAAATAAATAAATAAATAAATAAATAAATCTTACCTCATCCTTCCATGCGTGAGCCCTGAAATGCTTTTCTTGTAACCCTGCAAGGGTCGCATTTCCACCAGCAACATTGAAAGTAGGGTCTACCAGGGAATGACCAAACAGGCCATAGAATGATATCATGTAACGATTTTTTCTAACTGAAGAGACTAAGGACCAGAGAAACCTGAAAGAGGCACACAGCGGAGAAACCCAGCCACCCTACACAGAACGGGCCTCAAGAAACATGGTTGCTGCCTTGCCTCCATCAGCAACTAACTCCTTATGTGCTGGGAAGCCACCAATACGCCATATCACATGAACCCTATGACACGACCAACTGTGAGAGGCCCAAAATAATGACCAGCTAAAAAAATAATAATGTTGCCCTGGCCGGTTTGGCTCAGCGGTTGGAGCCTCTGCCTGCTGACCAGAGAGTCCTGGCTTTGGTTCCTGCTAGGGGCACGTACCAAAATAATAATAATAACAATAATAATAATGTCAATTAAACCACAGCATGCCATTCATTTCACAGAAAATAAAATGTGGGCTGTGGAACCAATGGGATATGGCAGAAGAGAAAACAAAATAGGGCAAGGCCACTAAGAGGAGACTTCTGCACATACGTGTACCTCTTTCTGCATTATAAGTAGATCAATGACTTCATGCATTAACCTCAAAAAAAAAAAAAAGAACTTATAAAAGAATGATAGCCAGTCTATCTGTCATACTGTTGGGGACCCTTCAAAGTAGCCAGTCAAGGTTGCAGACTTGTGAAGGCTTTACACAAGCGTGCTCCATGGAGAGCCGGGGAAACACGGATTGTGGGGGTCCCTGAGCAGGGCAGGGGGCCTGAGTGCCTACAGACCTGTTTTGAGTCCGGCGTCCGAAGGTTCAGGCTAGCAGTGGATATGGTCAGGGAGATGTTCATGCCCGCAAACTGGAGGTTACTCTTGCCCAAGATGCTGGACAGCATTTTGCTTGGAGGCTGTGAAAACAAGCACCATTATTTTCACTTTTGAGTCACTGGAGGCCTCTGTGAGGCCTCTCTTGTTCCTATCTGCTACACCCCCAAACCTCCACCTTCCCGCCCTCATTAGGCACATGAAGAAAAGTGTGCTTCGAATAAGCTGCGGGAGGGCGGGGATCGGACTCTAACACAAAGATTCTAGAATGTGCCCTGTGGGAGTCATGAAACATCCCTGCACACACTGAGATCAGGGGAAGGCAGAGATTGTCAGTGTCCAGGCAGCTCGTGTGGGACGCGTCTCGTGGCGTGACTTGAAGCCGGGGGAAGGGCCCAGGCCGGGGCCTGAAGCTGTGCACACTCAGAAACCAGCCTCATCCCTCCAAGAGTGAAACCAGTCAGGGCTGGACTAAATCAGTCCAACTCCGCGGCTTATGAGCAATCCCACCGGAGTCGTGAGAACGCTCTTTGCTGCAGGAATGGAACATGACTGCTCTGATGGGCACATCCCCTGGGTCAGAGCACACAGGGTGGTCCAGTTAGAACACAACAGGTCTGCAGCCAGCACAGAATGGACAGACTCAGCTCGGCTCTAACTGGTGCACCCATCAGCCCATAAGAAATGTTCTTGGCACACGGACCGACGGGTTGCATCCTCCAGCCAGGCATCTTCTCCTTGGGCACTGCATGGGCACTGCCAACACTTGTCTCTGTCCAAACCTCCAATCTTTCTCTTTAGATTAGAACACCCCATCTGATATGCCAATCAACCTAGTTCTTAACCAGGGGGCACAACTTGTGGCAGAGCTGCCTGGGCCCTGATTAGTATACCTGGGATGGAGACTAGAGGTCAGCATCGTTTCCCCCACCGGCGCCCACCTGTGCCTGTGGTCCCTGTGTGCTGGGGACCCTGTATTATGGTGTCTGCACCTCTCTCCCCAACTCCATTTTAAGGATGTCATGTTAGAGCTTGAAATTGGCCATGGTGGAAGTATTTACGCCCCAGAAACTGGCAAATACTACATATACAGTGTCTCGGTCCCCCAGCCCTGAGAGACAGCTGTTAAATTTTGACCAGCTCACTACTGAGGGCCTCTGCCACAGAGCGTTGTTCTAATGAAGTGAATGAATGGCTCTACAGGCTTGGAAGAATGTCTGGCCTTGTTTTGCCAGGCTGCCATCATCACTGTCCTTACATTTAGGCCCACAGTGCGTCACCAGGGTGTCCAATTTGGGTTGGCAGTGATAGCCAACTGTCCCCGTCAACCACGTGGCAGAGAGAGAGAATCTAAGCTCTTCCTGTTTTCAAAGTGACAAAAGCCACTGCAGCTGACCCCCTGTAGACTGAGGAGTGCCTTTTGGTTTTCCCTGGGCAACAACAATGACAGTGACAACGCCAGGCCAGGGGCAGAGAGAACTGAACCGCATGTGTAATGAAGGATGCTGAGAGGTGACAGAGGAGACACGGATGCAGAGTGAGAGGACAGTACCTTTCTCTTCCTGAAGGCTCCCTTGGTGCCAGGGACGGCTTCACAAACACGGCTGATGGCTTCCCTTCAGAGGACAGGAAGAGAGATCGGTTTTACCATGTCAATCAGGATTACAGAACCTAGACACCCTCCAGGTGCACACCCCCGGGGGAAAGAATGGCCTGTGTGTTCCAGCGTAGAAAATAGACCCGCCAGCTCAGGAGTCACCCAACCTGTCCCCTGAGCAAGACAAAGCGGGCTATCTTGAACCTCTGGCTGGAAGCAGCCCAGGGCTTTCTGTGGAGGCTGCATCCCAGCTGGCGCTGTGTGAGCGTCCGTTCCCCTCGCAGCTTTAGTTTCTGCTTGTTTGCACGTTTGGTTAGCATCCCCTTGGAGAGACTCAGTACCCTTCTGGCTGTTCTGTTCACGGTGATGGCAGGGCCTACTGTGCACCAAGTACTGCTGTTGATCAAGAGCTCTCCGAATGAGTCAGAAGGGAATGAATAGAAACACACCCCTCTGAGTTATTCCCAGGGACGACGGAAAGACTCTGAGATCCTAAACTAAACTGCAGAGGGTGGAAAAAAGAGGTTAATCAGTTAACAGCCTCGAGTCAGATCCAACTAAAAACTTCTCACCTTCCTGAATGTGTGTTGAAACTTAGGGCCAACTTTGGTGACTGTTTCGGCTCTTATATATAGAGAACAGCCGAGCACCAGACTCCACCATACCCTGCTGCACATGCACTTTCTGATGGCCCACAACCAATCCAGGATGCTGTACCCACCCCAGAGCTGCCCCACATCCCCTTTCTCACCCCCTTTATCTGTAGTCAATGTAAGTTCTTTCAGAATAACTTACATCGTTCTCTCCACACTCATGGTGTAAAAGAGCCCCATGAATCCCAGGACAGCACACACGCTCATCCTCTCCATCTGCCCTGTGGCCGGTGGTTCAGACAGCAGGCCCCAGAACCTGGTCCTTGCACCGGACAGAATATAGCTCACAAAGGCTTCATTTCAGAAATGGGCATCCTCAAAGGTTTTCATTACACAACAGCTGCTGTAGTTAGTAAATATCATGAAGGTTGGTTCCATGGAGCGGGCATTTATTGAGCAGCTACTTTGTGCCGGGCACTGTCCTGAAGAAGGCAATGCATGTCCTAGGTCCTGAGGGGGCCTGGCAGGAGGTCAGGTTGCAGGGGGTCTGGCCCCCAGGTCTGTATGGGACAGAAGACCACAGAAGCAGAGGGGAGGAGTGCAAAATTGAGACCACAAGGGGCCTCGGGTCAGGAGGATGAGGCTGCCGTAACTACTTGAGAGCAAACAGAGCCCAACCTTGTGACCCAGCCTCAGTGATGAGTGACAGGAGACTTGCCGAAGTCAGGAGCCGGAAAGAGGCTGGGTGAGCCTCCTAACTCCCACGTGGGGAAGGACAAAAGAGAAAAAGAAACCACAGAGGTTCGGGGACACACTGAATAATGGAAAAGATAATGGGTCCTCAGAGTCCACAAACGTTCTCCGCTGAGTACGTCTTGAAATTATTTTCTATCCTCTAGAAGAATAACGATCACCACAATACATTGCTTTTAAGAGAAATACGACCTTGTCAAATTCGGTAGGAGACTGTAAAGACAAGCTTCCCATTCGCCATTACTTCGTTGTAGAGTGCAAAGAAGGAAACACTGCTCTGGAAGTTCAGATACCACGAAGACCGTAGACGCTGAGTCACCATGACTCAGAAGAAGTTGATTTAAAAGAAACAAATGTTTCTTTTTAGTCATTTATTTTAGAATAATATTCTGACCGTGGTTCTATCCAAATGATCATCCCAAGTACTTTCTAAAAGTAAATTCCTGTTGAAGGTCAAGTTGTCTCCCTTAAACAACCACATAAACCTCAGTACCTATATTTTACCTGTTTAATTTTTTTTAAAGTTTGATGCATCTCTGCCCCATACTTGGTATATTTACCTAAGCTAATTCTCTGACGGTCCTAGCAGGCTAGAACAACATTTTACAGCAGAAAGTCTCCCACAAGTCATTTCTGAAGTACCCCGATTACGCTTCAGATTTCTTTTTCCATCCACAGACATGGAAGATAAGAGGGGGAAATCAGTATGGATGACAGTTTTCCAGGAAAAAAAAAATGTTACCTGTCTAACCTGTGATCTAGATTAGATGCCATCCAAGGTCCCTTCTAGTGCTGCCAGCCTGGAGCTTGGGCAGCAGGTTGGCTACTGAAGTGTCTGGGAGAGGGAGAGGGAAACAACAGATGACCATTAAGAATAGGATTGTGGCCCTGGCCAGTTTGGCTCAGCTGTTAGAGCATCGGCCTATGGATCAGAGAGACCCGGGCTCTTTTCCTGCTAAGGGCACGTACCTCGGTTGCAGTTTGTCTCCACCCCGGTTGGGGTTGTGTGGGTGGCAACCAGTTGATCTGTCTCTCTCACATCGATGTTTCTCTCTCTCTCTTCCCCTCCTCTCTCCCTCCCGCTCTATCTAAAGATAAATGCAAAAATGTCCTCAGATGAGGATAAAAAAAGAGAGCGAGAGAGAATAGGATTGTGGAGAAGACACTGCAAATAATCAACACACCCCACCAAAAAAGTCCTCCCCTAGAGAGGCATGCAAGCATTTCAGGGCAGAGTTAGAGATGCAATCTTTTGTCCTTAAAATATGCCAATATAAGAAATTCCGGAAAGTTCTCAGAGCTCATGGACTCAGGAAAGTCCTAAAGATCCCCTTGTGAGCCAGCCTTTAGACTCCCCAAAGAGGGGTTTGCAAATCGAGCTGCTTTTCCAGAAAATGCTCTCCCTTCTCGTTGGCATACATTTTTTTCTGGTGTTCACGTGATAGTACGTGTGTGTAACTCTCATTCTAATGAGGCTGACGGCATCTATTTCTATTTGAAATAGAAATGTGACATGACTATTAATCATTGTAATAGTTAGATGAATGAAGTTGGTAATTTGAACTCCAAAGTCTAATTTTAAATGTAAGAATTCTCAATGTCTTTCCTTACTGTTTAGTGCCCTGCCTTTTGGTGAGCAGCACTGTTTCAATTTGTTCATTTAGCAATCATCATTGAGCTTCGTGTAATTCCATTTTGTCTCAGCGTGAGTCTCAGGTAGCAATTTTGCCCTCTTTTTAATAATAGAGATTGCTTCTTAATGTTCTGATCGGTGCAATCCCGTTTCGGTAAGCTGAGCCTTGAGCTCAGGGCTCAGCTAATAGGAAAACGAAATAGTTGGCACCTTCTCGGTTATCTGAAAGTAATGCCAAATGCTGACCCCCACTTTTTCATGACATCACCATCTTCCTCTACTTGGCGAACATTCTCATCATTAGAGCTGGCAACATTCACCTTCATAATGTTTTCATTGGAATATAGCAGCTCTGAACTGAAACCTTTGAAACTATGTAGCACCATCTTTCTCCCTATGGGTCCATCTCATACGATCTCTCTCTCTCTCTCTCTCTCTCTCTCTCTCTCCACAGACTCAATAGACAGAGGACGTGTGGGTGATGTCAGCACTCACAGGATTAGATTAAATAGGGGCGGGGCAACAAGCAAACACATGTAACAGCAAATTGCAATCAACTTCCTAAACAAACAAAAAGGAGAGATACATGTAATGAAGAGGATCGGAACACATCACCCCCAAACAGGCCTCTTTTGCATAAAGATTATTTTAAGCGCAAGGCAACTGAGAAGCAGCAGATTCAAGAAAAGCTCTCTGTCCTTCCCTATTTGCCAAAAAGCAGGACATACATTTGTAAAGGCACACCCCTCCCCACTCTACAGGAAGGACAGAAGTTTATTGCTGGAGACAACTCGAGACCCTGATCAGCCCTTAGACGCAGCAGAGGGGTCTGCATGGCAAAGCTTGCTACTAGCCCTCATCTTCCATTAGTGCCCACACTGCACCCGCTTGCCTGCCCCCACTCTGCTGCCCAGGCACCCAAACTCCCTTCCTTTGTCTTGTGCCCCCCGTACAGATTGATTGCTCTTTGATGAAGACGGTATGTAAGCCTAAATTCTAAATACTTTTTTCAGTTACTCATAACTGTTTCCCTGCCTGCACTGCATGCGTTATGCATTCATCAACCGTTTGTTTTTCTCCTGGTAATCTGCCTTTTGTCTGATTTGCAGGCCTTAAGCCAGGAAACGTAGGAGGGTAGAGAAAAATGTTTTCCCTCCCCTACAGGAATAAATGTGGTAACACATGTCAGGAGGGGGCAAGAGCTACCCAGGGAGGGGCATTTGGGTGACTGGGCAGCTATCCAGGGAAGAGTAAGTGGGGTTCCTACCTTTTGCCTTATATGCAAATACATTCTCTGTAGAGTGCAAATTTATTTGTGATGAAGCTGTAAAACTACTAAAAGAAAACTGGGAGGACATTTTAAAATCTTTCAGTGAAAAGATGATTCAAAATCCAGAAAGCACCGAAGAATATATTGACACATTCAATAGCATAAAAATAAAACTTTATACATAAGGGGGAAAAAAGGGTAACATTTCATAAAGAGATCATTGTTCTGATATCAATCAATAAGGAAAACATCAAAAGCCTAATGGAAAATGGGCAAATTATATGAGCAAAGACTTCACAGAAAAATACAAATGGTTCTTAAAAATATGAAAAGGTCTTCAGCTTCACGCATAAGTACACAAATTAAAGGCTACACGCCAACTCCTGTTTTCACAGCCAAACGTTTAAGTTTGATAAGACTCCACGTTGGTGAGGAGGTAATCCGCATAGCCTCCCTGGGGGCAGATTGGTGAAATGCCAACAAAGGGGCCCAGCAGCTCTACTTCCTGCACACACCCCAACATACTCACAGACGAGCTGGGCCTCGTGTGCACCACCCATGACTGCAGTGAGGCTTCCAACAGACTGATGGGAAAAAATGATGTCTAACACGGGGGCCAGCTCAAAACATGATGGCACCCCTAGATAACAGACTTCCAGTGCTTGAAGCTGGCAGTGCCCTCTGCCCTCTCTCCTCCCTGGTCCTCCTCAGCCCCCTGCATGCCAGGTACAGTTCCCACTGGCCATCCCTGCAAAATCCCCAGCAACCTC